TTGCCTCTACCCATCCAAGTAGCACCTGGGCACGTGAATGGGCTTTGGCAATAAACACGGAAGGGATTAAACCTGAAAATCCTGATCTACAAACATGATTAATACATAAACATCTAACGGGCTAATATTTCACTATTTTAATAAAAGTGACTCGACTTTGTAAATATAAAGCTTTAAGAACAAATACTGAAAAGTAAAATAGAGCAACTATGACGCAAACATGGTGCACTGCTAATATCAGCTGGCAACGAAGGGTCTCACGCCCCCTAGACTTACGCCAGACGCTACATACCACCCACCCCGCCTGGACGTCGTAACGCCAGGACAGAGTGCACCCCTTCGCTAAGAGCGCTACCCGCCCGTCCAACACGTTGCATCCAACGGTGTCAGATTTGCGGACGCCCATAGTATAGACAAAAGGACTGCAGTTTAGAATATGGTAACATATTTTCATATGTTCCGTATTCTAAAGCTGCGCCTGCAAAGGCCTAGTAATGCATGGGTATATCTCCCAGAGATGGTGTTCACGGTCTTATGCCGCGGAATCCTTGTAACTAATTTGATTAATTAAATAATACATAGGATTGAGATTAAAAACCAAAAGGATTCCCACCGAATACTAGTCAGTGCATCGTCATATTTACTCTCGCGTCGGAAATTTCTCGCAACACTAATTTAATAAAAGCAAACCTCTAATAAAAAGGAATTTAATGTCAAAATTGAATTTGATATTTTATTAAAAGGAAAATGACTAATTAAAAATTCTTTACAATGAAAAAAGAATATATTGTGAAAATTAATAAAAAATTAAAACATCCTCGGGCGACTCCCTCCTCAGAGTAAATTTTCAAGAATACGCAAAATATGTTGAAATAGATTACTCTGACTTGGAAATCTACCCGTCACGAATTGTCTTCTTGCACATAAATTGTTCATTTTTTCATGAACGTTTAAGTAAGTTAAACTTCGCTATTGAATAAATGAAATTTTAGAAAATTCTCAAATTATATTTGAATTTATAATATACAAAATGTAATTAAATCAATGTAATAACATCATTAATATGTATATCCAGTATACATATTACATAATACTATCAATATTATATTGCTTTGAACCATCGCAATAACTAAGTCAGATAGTATTTGACTTCTCTATTACAGACAAACTAAATAAAATTGTTTCGGTATTCAAATACTCTAATTCCACATTTAAGAACATTTAAGAACATTTAAGAGCATTCATATATTTCATAAATATCTATTGGAATATGTGGAATTGATATGATATTAAAACGCGGAGTACAAGAAGACCTAGCCTAAACTAAATGAAATGAAACAATAAAAATGTTACTACTCATGGGTATAATCATACCCATGGTCACTATGCTTGCCAAGCACGTATACAACTGGTAACCCGTGTCGATTCGGACCATTCGTCCTACGACATGATTGGGCACCAGAGGAACCATAAAACATGCGACTCACCGTTCGCAGATATACTCTTCTTCCGACAGTCAAGTAGGAGGATGGACAACACCAGGTAGGAGGCTGCCTTGTAGGAGAAGATTCATCTGTAACAAAGAAAGAAGAATTACGGTTAATTTTGAAAATTATCAATTTTTATTCTAATAAAATTATATATGAAATTGAATTTTATAAAATATTAGCAATTATAAAGAAATCTCAATTATCAAGTGTTGAAATTGAAAATTATTCTATTTTAATAAAAAGCAATTAAGTGACGTACCAAGACGGAAGTCGTGAAGAAAGCCATCATCAGGATATCCAGGAACTCGGTAAAATAAAAAAATTCATCTGTAACAAAACAAAAAAGAATTACGGTTAATTTTGCAAATTATCAATTTTTATTCTAATAAAATTATATATGAAATTGAATTTTATAAAATATTAGCAATAGCAATTAAGAAGATCTCTCAATTATCAAGTATTGAAATTGTAAATTATTCTATTTCAATTAAAATTAATTAAATAAACTAATAAGATACTTACACTCTTTCCTTATGGAGCAACACCCAAGACTCCTCTTCAGTGGTGCACTGACTCTAATACCGGATATATCGAGTAATTAAAAAAAAAAGAATTAAAAATAAAAATCAAGATATGAAATACTAATAACGCGACCGTGAATAATTTCCGGCGAACAATTATAGAGACTCTACTTTCGCGATGGAAAAAGAAAAATCAGAGCCGCGATGCTCTAGAAAATATTTTATAATACGCAGCAAACACTGACTCTACTTTCGCGTGATTCCTAATTGTACAAACGCAACTCTATTCAGGGGCAGTTCACCCTTGAAAAAATCAAAACATTGGAAATATGTTCGTACAAACACTGACTCTACCGACCGCCTTGCGCGCGGCCACAACAATTCCTGGAAGAAAAGATTAGTGAGGAGGTTGGGGATGGGTGGAAGTATACAAAACAAACATTCTTCTTATTGAACGTTCGTTCAGGAAATACTGTTATTACGTGTAAATGAAAATATCTGTGTTCGTGAAATATTTTCAACGAACACGAATATTATTCAAGTTGAATATTGATCCTAGATTATATTGTAATAATGAAATGTTTTAAATAATTTTTAATAATTATTTCAATGGATATTATATGGATAGAAAATCATAGTTAAATAAATATAATAGACTATTTTATTAAAGTAGTGGATTTCTGTTGTTAAAATTGTAAGCACCCTAAAAATTGTTGAAAATTCTATTACGTCGTGATTCATAACTTGTCTAAATTCTTTTCAATAAACAAAGTCCAATAATTAATCATATTTAAACAGACAAGACTATTTAATAAAATGAAAAATTAATTATTCTTTTTCTATGAATTGATTAAAGAAAAAAAATATCTCTAATCTTTTCTTTCTTGGTACCTTGGTACCAATTAATTATCAAAAATGCTTACAGTTAACGACTCAATAAAACGACAGTAATGCTAAATGTTAATAATTGATTACAATAAATTAAAATAATAAATTTTTACGAAATTCTATGTCAAACCCATATCAGGTGTCATTGCGTCCTTTTAATATCCATCAAATATCTGTAACAAAAAAGAAATAGGAATTTATGTAAATAAAATTTAATCAACAATAATAAATTTATTATTAATAAATAATCGAACTATAATTTATGCAAAATAATTTAATAGGTACAATGCATACCTACTACTTATGCGGAAGGATGCTCTCAACACGTCTTACCACTTCGACGTTCGCGAGAGAAATGGCGAGACCTTCCTTTCCGACGAAGACCGGTCGGCACCGCTTCGGCATTCTTCGGTATATTCCGTTGTCGGCCGATGGCCGATACCTGAGCAATGTTCAAGAAAAAACGTTATTATATTAAAAACAGCAAATTGTGTAAAACAGTACTACAAATATTCAATAATGTTTAGGAATTTAACGATATAATAAAGATAATTCAGATTCTGCTATTCCATTCTCATTGTGCATTAGCGGCAAGAGCAAACATTTTCGCAAACAGCTCGCGTATTTTTGAAGAAAACACCGAATTAATGTGAAAGATCAAGAATCTAGACTTCTCTTTGATGTTTCTTTCTGTTTTTTGTACTTCTATCACCTGAGAGGCAATTTAATTTAATATTTGAAGATAATTTAACCTTACCTGTTGCAGACACGTGAAAGGACGAAGCTTCGGAGAGAACTACGCCACACTTCGCGCACCTCACCCTTAAACGACGAATCTGATTGGTCGAAATGGGAAGACGCCATAACGAACGACCAATCACAGTCATTGATAGAAGTTTCAAGTTGCTTCGAAACTTTAATACTAAAATAAGGGAAAAGTTCCTTGAAAATTATCAACGCCATATTGAAATAAGGTTAAGATTGCTTTTTTCAACTTAAAGCACCGAAATATAGGAAAGAAGATAGAAAAATACATAAAATATTAATGGTATTTAATAAATTATCATTATAAAAGCAGAATAAATGAGAAATATGTTATTTTAATTCGTATCTGTATCGACAAAATAGGGTATAAATCTTCAGCTTACGCATTTCGGAAGACAATGTGGAAATGATGTCAGAAATCATGACTCCAGTCTTCTCTTCAACTTTGTCTTCTGTTTTTTGTGTTTTTGATACCTAATACACAATTTAATATAATATTTTAATAGTGTCAAAGCCGCGTCACATACAGGATCTGCGAATGATCGCGCGGTCGAGCGCAAAAAACGAATGAACTGCGCCCTACAGAAAAAATGAGGAACTAAATATGTGGTCTGTTTTACCTTTTTGACGTCTTTTGCGTTTGAATAATAAACGAAATCGTAGTTCTTACTATTTTTCTAAACGAAGACTCGTTTTGCTCTATTCGACCCAAAGAATGTTGGTCTGGTGTCGATTTGGACATATGATTCGTAAAAATGTTGATATTACGAATAAATTAACGCAGATGAGTCCAATCCGCCATTTTCCTGACCGTGGACAAACACCAATTTCAATATTTTATGACTTTTTGACGATTTGGGTAATATAAGGACCAGACTAACTTTCTTTAGGACCTTCTGAACACATCTTTCAAATTTCTTTGCAATCTTTTCAGTAATGACGACGTAATTTGAGAACTCATTTCTGGGAATTTTGTTAGGGTTAAGTTTCCAACACTTGCATCACTTTTATAGTTGTTTTCAGTTATATTTTAAATGGTTACTATCGCAAAATTTGTTTGACACTTCATTCCTGATAGCGCCATGTTTCTTATATGACACGTCTACAAAAGCAGACGAACGTGATTCGAACGCAAGAAATATTTCTGATAAAAAACCATGAAATGTTTTTTTAGCAATCTTTTATTGAAGTACTGTACTATAATTAAATATCTATAATAATGAATTTATAATAAAGAGGGTGATAGAGAGCATTTTTTAAATGAGGCTATAAAATTGACACGTCATTGATAAAACACCAATCATAAAGAGAATTTAAAGGATACTACCAATCGTCTCACCGGTTATACGGTCGACCGCGGTCAATCTACTTTCAACATTCGAAATGAAGATGGCTGCCGAGGTGAGGTGGCTTTTCATTTTTCACGTATTTTCTTTAATATGTACGATCTTCGGTGAGATACCTAATCGGAAATTCGAATACAAATACTCATTTAAGCCACCTTATCTTGCACAAAAAGATGGAAGTGTGCCTTTCTGGGAATACGGGGGAAGTAAGTAAATTTAAAACCTAACCAATTTCTCGTACTGTATAACACTTCCGTATGTTATTTCGAATGTTCGGCTTTTTGAATATTTAAATGCAATGCATCGTTATTTGCCTTTCAAAATACAATTCTTATCAAATTTCTTAACTGCAGATACTTTTTACACACGAAAATGATATTATTTGGCAGAACAGATGTTTTTATTTACATTTGAGGTTTCTATTTAGTTAGTCTTAAAACTGAAAATAACATAAATTAATTATAATCAACTATCTGAATGAGTAAATTCAATTTTATATTTCAGTATTGAATATTCAGATACATATGAGCTTATTGTTTTTATGATTTCTTTTATTATTATATTTTAAATTGCTAATAATTTTTTAATGTTTCTACACACAGAAAAGTATTGTTTTTGTTTTAGATGCAATTGCTAGTGCAGAAAATGTAAGAGTGGCTCCATCTTTAAGAAGTCAGAAAGGTATATAAAATATAATTATGGTTACATTATAAGAATCTTTATATTATCAATAAAGACGAAAGAATATATTTAATATAAATTGTTTTTTGAATGTCTTGGAATGTTTATCTGTATTAAATGAAGACTTAAAATGATGTTTAGGTGCTATTTGGGTCAAGCAACCTGTTAACTTTCGCTGGTGGGAGGTTGAATTGATATTTAGAGTAACAGGAAGGGGCAGAATTGGAGCAGATGGTTTAGCATTCTGGTATACTAGTTCAAAGGGTGCTTACAATGGTACTGTTTTCGGTAGCTCTGACCAGTGGAATGGTCTTGGAATCTTTTTTGATTCCTTTGATAATGACAATAAACACAACAACCCCTACATAATGGCAGTTCTCAATGATGGCACAAAGACCTTTGATCATACCAAGTGAATTACATTTCTGACTATTTTTAATTAAGTAGCAATTAAATTTTCAATAAATGAACCTTTGTCCTCATTTTTATACAGTGATGGTACAACACAATTATCTGCAGGCTGTCTGCGAGATTTTCGTAATAAACCGTTTGCTACAAGAGCAAAAATTGAGTACTATCAGAATACTTTAACTGTGCGTATATTTTTTAGCTTGTTTTTTTATACTAATAAATGTATCATAATATTTTTATTCAATATGTAATTAAAGGTATTATTCCACAATGGTATGACGAACAACGAGCAAGATTATGAAATGTGCTTCCGAGTGGAAAATGCTATACTACCGGAAGGAGGATACTTCGGTGTTTCTGCTGCTACTGGTATGTATAATCCAACACAGTAATTAAAACAATATTTTTTTGTGCTACAATTGTTCTTCTAATATAATATTTATTCAAGGTGGTTTGGCTGATGATCATGATGTTTCGCATTTATTAACGCATTCGCTATTTGTTCCCGGAGAATCGAAGCCAGATGATCAGAAAGCATTCTTACAAGAACAACAAAAGCTTAGGCAAGAATATTTGGATTATCAGAAGAAATTGGACCAGCAAAAAGAGGAATACCGGAGGTGAACAAATCATTTGGGATTATAAAATTATATATAAACACAAATTATAATTATTTCATTTTATTTTGTAGAGAACATCCGGACGAACATCGCGAGAAAGAAGAATTCGAAGAATATTTTGAAACTGACAATCAAAGGGAGTTGCGACAAATTTTCGCCGGTCAAAGCCAAATGTTTGATGCGTTACGCGAGCTTAATAGAAAATTAGATGAGATACTTGGGAGACAAGAACGATCTCTCAGTTTGATATCTCAGCTTCAAGTGGGAGGTGAGATTTCATTTTCGATGTAAACGCATTCGTCAGAAAAACAAATATTTTATAGGTTATATTTATGGTTAGGTGTTGCGACCGGGGGTCAACCAGGACAAGTTCAACTGGTTGATACTATACGTCGACAAGAAGTCGACAATATGTTAAGCAATCAGAATAATTTAATAAATACAGCGAAAGAGATGCAATCTACGATAAACGAACTATATTCCAAGACTGATCTCGTTCTTAATAATCAGGCCCGAGCCCCAACCGCACAGGTGTTTATAAATACCTAATTTTATTTATTATTTTCTGCAACGTATTTTACGGAAAGTATTCGTTCAGGTCCAGCCAATGGGATATGATTATCATTCTCTAGTTTCGGAAATGCGAGATGGAATTAATACTTTAAAAAGAGATATAGGACAAGCAAATGCTAAATTAAACAGCGGCGGAGGAGACTGTCCTGCAACGAATTGTTTGACAACAACAATGTTTTTGCTCTTTGTCGCAATTCAGATGATCATTCTTTTAGGTTATAGCATGTATCGGTAAGCATTTCCTTCGGTTTGTTATTATAAATAATAGAACGTTTTAAAATGTTTATTGATTTTGTTTACAGGGACAATAAAGAAGCCCAGGCAAAGAAATTATATTAATAATATTGTTTCTGATTCTACAGCGCAAAAGTAAGGGGTACAAAAACAAATTTCTGTTTTTGCATACTGACTCGATATTTTTATCACTTGTTAATGGTATTCGTGAAGTATGCATTTTGCTGAACATTTGTACAATAAATACATTCTTCATCCATGATAAACCTACACCATAACACGATAGAGAGTTACAATTACTCTCCAAGTAATTATTGATAATGCTCAGCTTGGTATAACTCAATAATTTTACTATTTCTTCGAAAGTGTGATATTTCACAATACAAACCAGAGAGCATAGATGTATAAAGATGGCAGAAAGTACATGTAAATTTAAACTGAACAATCTAATTTTATAAGAGATCGTTCAGAGATTTTCAAAATGGAACGAACATTATCGTAATTCGTTTAGATGGTTGTGTATAATATATATATAGAATGTTTTGTGCCACGCGCACATCAATTTTTTTTACTAGTTTTGTTTATAATACTTATGTTTTTTTTTATATATTGATTTATCGACAAGCGTTGTAAAATGTATAGAATTTTGTATTGGAAATTGGCATATCAAATAGTAAAAGCCGATAACTTTTCTTTTTTCTGAGAAGATTCTATTATTCTTACAAGATAGGCATCAATCGGGTACTACATTCCCTTAGGCGAATGATCGTATTTTAGGTACGAATCGCGTTTCAAACGTGACAGATAAACAGATTGTCGCATGCAACTGGGTCAATTGTATCTTTTAAAAGTTAAGAGATAGACAATAGTAAATGGTGTTGAATGGAACATCGGCTTCAGAAATGGAGGTGTTGGTCATCTACACTTTTTTAAACGTTGGTCTTTCCCTAAAGTATCTTTTGAACTAATCAATTTTCGACCTAAGTATACCTAAGTACCTAATATACAGTTCCGCTTAAAAAATGAAATCAACCTTAAAAACTTTGGAACACCTCCACTTCCAGTGCCTCATTCAACACCATTCACTTTTCCTCATGACATTTCTTCTATCTTTTTTATTATTTAAAAGTTATGGTGTAGCCTAGTTGCATGGAATACCATGTATAATCTTAAATATAAGGAATCATGGATATGGCTCTATTAAATTCGAAACATCAATCACTACCTATGTTTTATTCTTGTATGTTGTGCAAAAGTGACGTTAAACAGATGATGCTGAACGATGAGAATGTTTCGCTAAGTGAATACGTACTTTACAAGCGTATACATACGGTGTATTAGATAGCAACGTAGGAAGAAGGAGCTCGAACAATCCGGAAGCTCGGTATTCTTCAACCTTATTGCATTTGTAAAAGTTTATCGAAGATTATAAATGTATGATAAAATATATCTGATAATAAAATCACTTATGAAAAAACCCCAATCAGATTTCAACACATTTGACATAATTTATCTCGATATGAATTTTCGAAGTCTTTTATTGGACACAACGCCTAATGATAGTTTTCTTTTTTAATTTTTTATTCAATTTTTGAGGAAATAAAATTGGGCGCGAATTTTTATTGAGGTATTGCTACGTTAAAGTAGCAAATTTTTATCCTGTTGCTATTTTGTAACAAATATCGTATGGTATTTTATAAGAAAATAGAAAGTAATAATAAAATCTAAATTTATTGAAGAATATAGAGTGTTATGCTTGTAAAATGGAGCAGTGTAGAACAGTAGAGCATTCTGACTAAAAATAAAACTGATGACTAATTAGAATCGTCTAACTCAAGTTACATTCTGGGTGGATATCAGCATAAAGTATACAATACTTTTCTGTTGAACATATAATTTTTGATAGAACAATATAATATTATAATTGTTTATCGAAGCATCGTCCAATATAGAATGGAGACCTTAATAATTACTTGCGCCTTATATTATCTAATTATTAGTGTAAATCTAAAAAGTTTATTTCTTATTTTTCTAAAAATTTCTGTCCTGTTAGTTCAAAGCACAAAAGTAGACTAACTGGAAAATATTTCTGTTATTTCCTAAAGAATAGCAGTATTTTGGACAATTGAACAGCCGAAAATCGTGAACTGTCGTCGACGAAAGTTACGATTTATAAGCTTAAATGTCCCATCCCTTATTCAGTCAAGGATGCTAGTGCACTTTGTAACAATCAGAGTTAAACGAGGCGAGGAAGAGAAAACGGGTCGTGGTTAAATCTTGCGAATAATTCAATAAACGTTGAAGTGGTTTTGTTTTCGGAAAATCTGAGGAACCGATGCGCGTCTGCAATGCGACAAATGTCGGATCTTCACTCGTTACTAGACAGTTATATAAATCCATATCCACTTATATAAACGAAAATAAATATTTTGTATTATTTTTCTAGCAAATAATTAGTAAGTAGAGTTTTAACAATTTTTGATGAAAAATGGCTGTAAAATTATATTTTAAATCATTGTACTATATTGATAAAGAAAAATTAGTCACTTTAGGCATGCAATTTTTCATTTTTCAATTTAAATTTTCCATTTCATTGCATAGCAATATAATATTATATTAAATTCACGATTAGGTCACTACTAGCGCCCTTGACAATCAACGTGTCAGAATAGGGCTTCCATTTTTCTCGTCGAAATTGAAATTCTCAAAATAATCCAAATAAAATTTCCAAGGTTTTCCGATTGCAAAATAACATCGTTGGCAGTAAACATTATACGTTCAAGGAAACGCAATAGGGGGTGGGGTAAAATAAAAATTGGAAATTCGGCGTATTTTAGTCAGGTCGTCCATTTCTCAGAACGTTTCACCCCTAACAGGATGTACCAACCCCTTTGGCGAACACGCGACCAATAAGAGCGTTTGTCTAGTAGCGCAGAATCCGTAGAATTCAACCCTTATTGCAGCAAACAGCCCTGATTGGCGGTGTGCGAACCAATCAAAACCCGCCTGGTATTGATCCCAGGGGTTGAATTGTTCAAACTTTTTTATCGGCAAAGTTGTAAAGTGTTTTATGGCCGACGCAGAACTGCGCCAACGTTATCCTACGACCGTGAGTTATTAAAATTGTCGGGGACGATTCGATGTTTTCGCAAATTAATGGAGAAGTTTCGTGAAAATGACCGCTAGTATGGTTATTATCATTTTTCATCTACAAATATTCAGTAAACTTCGTTTCTCAAAGGATCTTCTATAATTGGACGCTATTTTGCAATAAAAATTCTGAAATTGATATTTTAATATAAATCTCTTTTTAAACCAACAAAGAATATTTTTTTCTATATTTTCATCCAAATTGATTTCATTTTAATTGAAACAAGCTAAGAAAATAATATACGTAACGTTATATTTTGCAAGAATCTAGGTAAAATTTAAAAAATGATAATAATATAAAATAAATTTTATGATATTTTCTTGAAAAAACTGTTCCATGTTTTCGAAGCGTAAAATTATTTTCGTAGCAAAGTGGATATGAATCGGAAGGGTGAAAGTTAAAAAAACAGTTCACCTTGGAATAACAATTTAGAGAAAAAATTAACACCACTTTACTGTGTAAGCAAAAGTTACCCTTGCTGTGATATAATGGCATGGAACCTCTGTTAGCATGGTAAAATCTGAAAGAAGAAAGAAAGAGAGAATCGTAAAAATGATTAAAGAATCCCCATCAGGAGGAGAAATATTAATTTATATTGAATACAATATTAAATTGGTTAATCAAAAAATATTCTTAACAAGTTCACTCGATTTTTTGTGCTCATATAAAATCAATTAGGTAAAGTGTATTAAACAATACATTACCATAGATAACAATATTACTAAAATTTCACTTGTATCAGTAAAGCTCATTTAAATTTCATTTTTCTTCTTCTCTTTCTATTTACAAAAACTCATTCCAATAAATCAGAAACTCACTTTTGCGTGTCCAATCATCGATAGTGCGACTTGCAGGACTATGACAAATCGAAATATTATATTCAATCGTGCGTGTACATCTGCAAGGGTCATTGGCGTAACTAAAACTTTTATCTGGGGTGGATCTGATCCCTTGATTTTGTTAACAGTGTTAGGTGTTAAATTTTGTTAATTCTATCTTAATTTTTAAGAAATTTGAAATTCTGGTATTCTGAAATTTCAGAAATGTTGAAACTTTTGAAAATTCTGAAATTTTAGAATTTCTGATCATATTTTCAGGGATCTTGACCCCTCTCTTTTTACGCCAATGACGAGAGTAGGGGCGGTTATCTTCTAATAGATTCATATAAATATGTACAACGAAGGCAGAGTGTAAATGTGGACCAATACCCGTTGAACAGAATTTATGTAACGGGTCTCATAGAGGAGAATGATTTAGGATCGACGGGGATGTAATTCTACGAGCGATTTGGTTGATCGAATCGCTGAAATGGGTACATCGATACGATTGATTAAAAGTTCGCCGCACTTTTGGGGTGACCCGATTGAAAATCATATTCGAGGGGGTTCCATTGCATTTTGTCAGGATCGTGTTATCGGGTCTTCTTGGGTCAGGATCAACCCCTATGAACATCCCCCAAGATTTTATTCATATACCACTTGGTTTAGCTGGATATTGACGATTAACCCACGATTTGTTAAATTCATAAATGACACAGTACTACAATTAGAGGGATGGGGAAGAGAGTAGTTTAAAAATCTTTTTCTTTTCTATATACAATTTAAATGATTTTATCTAAAACAAACAATTGATGATGACATTGTAAGTTTTCTCCATCCCTCAAAGGAAAAAACGTTTGTATAGCAAAGACAAAAAGTTGTCCTCCCTCGGAACAGGAAGTTAGATGGCATTCTGCTCGTCAAGCTCCACCGAGCAAGGAACAATAAGAATTTATTACTGAAAAAGGAGCACCACGAATGATGACATTTATAATCTTTCGCGAGGAGCATAGATCAACGATGTTTTTGCTCGGCTTACAGGGGTGTCTCGACAGTGAATTCGATTTTAATTATTATTAATTGTTTCTCGTCACAGAGAGGGGTTTTCTCCTTTGCATAACGCTTGCGATCGTTAACTAGTGGTAAAAAAACAATAATTGTATTGTTTTGTGATATTAAACCGACTAAAAATTTTAGGGGCGAGGGGGTAAGGTGGCAAAACCCCTAGGGCTGGCCTGGCGTC